AAAATTATACAATCAGATTCCAAACATTTGAACCATGAAATGGCAATTTGAAATGTTTATTTTTTTTATAGACAAAACATGTCTTTTAGTAAATATATTGTTTGTTTTTATTTCTTAGCATATAATATATATTTACTTGATACTTTTCGTTAACCTTTCAGCCTTTTCACATTCTTTTTCTTTTATTTTGGGGTCAACTGTGATGTGTTTTCATGCAATTCACAATTTTTTAGTTATTAAAGCTCCTATGTAATCTTTTAAATATGATTAATTACCTGCTTCTCTGTGAAGAGGGTTGTTTGCCATATTTCAAAGACCTTAACACTTGTACATGTGAATAAATGCTGTGTTCTCAAGGTTGTGATTATTGGTTAGGCATTAAGATTTAGTTAATCAATTCTAAATGTATGTTTATGACAAGGAAGAGGTGGATTTGCATGATTAGCTTCAGCATGCAGCTCTGCGGTGCATGTCATCTGTACAAAAACAAACCATAATGTGCTGTTAAAGGTTCCGTTCACCCAATGTTTTTTTCTTTATTCTATTGTCATTCCTTGTCAAACCTATTTGAATACTTTTTTTTCTGTGGAACACAAAAGATTTTGTTTTGAAGAAGATTCATGTTTTTCTTTCCTACAATCTGAAAGCGAATAGGGACAGATGGAAAAAATGAAATCAAAATAATCAACTGTACATGTCTCTACAGTTTCACTGTGTGCAAAGTTTTGTGTTCCAAGGAAGAATCTGTTCATGCTGGTTTGCAATTACAGTACATAAATGATGACAGAATGTTAATTTTTGGGTGGACTGGTCCCTTTAAGATTATGACGTCAAACCTAGTTCACTAAAATCAATCAAATGTTTCAAATGTTGTGCTCTTTTGTCAGGCAAAGTGGCTGGAGACATTTTCCAGGACAATGCCATCCTATCCAACCCCGTAGCAGGACTCATGGTGGGGATTCTGGTCACGGTTCTGGTCCAGAGCTCCAGTACTTCCACATCCATTATAGTCAGCTTGGTCTCATCTGGATGTAAGTAACACAACTCATATTTAGTACAGTCAGATTTCTAGACTAAACCAATAACCTCAGATTAATGTCTTTTCATTATGGCTGTCAACTGATTACATTTAATTAATTGAAGTGCACTGTACTATTCAAAATTTTGGGGTTGGAACCTTTTTCAAAGAAATTATAACTGTTATTCATCAAGGATGCATCAAATTGATCAAAAGTGACAGTAAAGACATTAATAATGCTAAAAAGGTTTCTATTTTAAATAAACGCTGATCTTTTGGACTTTCTATTCATCAAAGAATCCTGAAAAAATGTATTACAGCTTCTACAAAAACATTATTTAGCACAACTGTTTTCAACGTTATGGATGGGTTAAATGCAGAGCACTAATTCCGAGTATGGGTCACCATACTTGGCCACATGTCACGTGACTTTCGCTTTTTCACTTAAAACTGTTGTTACTTCACATACTTTTTTGCGAAACTTGGCCCTGGATGATGCAACCGTATCCTTTTTATTCCACATTATTTCCAGAAAGTCTTATCTCTAGATGTTGTTCCTGCTTTAATCAAGTGACATCTCTCACGGATGAGCTAATTAGCTTGTGCATATGCAGCGGTGGCCTCAAAGTCTGAGAAGCTTGTGAAGTGTGACTGTCAGAGCTTATTGCAAATAAACATCAGAGTTCAGATGCAATCACAACAGATGCGGCAATTTAATGAGGGAGTTTTGTTTGGGTTAATGAGCTTATGTTTGACACAATAAAGGGTTTTAATATATAGATGCTACCGCGGGGTCCAAAAGTCTGAGACCACAAGCAAAAAAAGCACATGACATTCGCTGTGTGAATTTCCAGTGCAACTTTTGCTCAAATTGTTGTGCTGACAATATAATTCATGATAAAATAAATGCGCTAGGAATAGTTCATCCAAAAACGAAAATTTACTCACTCTCAGGCCATCCAAGATGTATCTTAATGGGAACAGATTTGGAGAAATTTAGCATTACATCACCTGCTCACCAGTGGATCTGAATGGGTGCCGTCAGAATGAGCTTCCAAAAGTAATCCACACGACTCCAGTCCATCAATTAATGTCTTGTGAAGTGAAAATCTGCACGTTTGTAAGAAACAAATCCATCAATTTGATGTTTTTAACTTCAAATCATTGCTTTTGGCTAAAATGTGGAATCCACAATCCACAATTTAGATTTCTATGAAACAGTCTTATTGTTTGACTCAGGAGATAAATATGCACAGATCAAGCACTGTTTACAATCAAAAACAGTCCAAAACAGTTCTAAATAAATATATTGATGGATTTTGATGTGAGAGGACAACAGGGGATGGAGTTTTTCACTGCAGGAAGCGTTATTATAGATTATGAAATCATATTTTTAGTAGAAGCAATGGTTTAAAGACTAAACATCTTAATAGTGGATTTGTTTCTTACAAACACACAGCTTTTCACTTCATCAGACGTTAATTGATGGACTAGAGTCATGTGGATTGCTTGTGGATTATTGTGATTTTTTTTATCAACCGTTTGGACTCTCATTCTGACGGCACCCATTCACTGCAGAGGATCCATTGCTGAGCAAGTGATCTAATGCTAAAATTCTCCAAATCTGTTCCAATGAAGAAACAAACTCATCTGCAGCTTGGATGGCCTGAGAGTAAGTACGTTCTCAGCACATTTTCAATTTTGGGTGAACTATTCTTTAAATTAAAAAAATGCAAAATAGATGCATTTTCACTAGTGGCCTTGACCATGAGTGTATGAGTGTGAATGTAGTAAATAGAGCACAGGTATGTGTAGTTGAATCTGTTAGAGCAGGTGAGTTTCTGAGCCCACAGCAATCATAGCTTGATCTTTTGAAATGGTTTGAAGAGGTCAACTTTGAGTGACAAAGCTCTTTGAATGGGACTCGGCTTTTCTCTGAGTAAATGAATTGAAGCTGATGGATGTCAGGAGTGGGTGTGTGTCCATTCACGCAATGCTCAGTGAGCCTTCAGCTAAAACACGAGCCATGTTTCACTCCAGCTGCAAACCCCAGCAGCGTAAGGGGCAGTAATTACTGATACTAAACTACCCATTCATAGTATCTGAATGGAAATTTGACTTGACTCTAATGCTCGCCTGATTTAAGAGTCAGTGGAAACAAATTAAAAAGAAATGACATCAGTGAACAAAAGAGATGGACAATATTTAGTGGTATTTGCTAAAGCATGCCTCACTACTGCTATTGCTCATGCTTTATGATCTATGTGATTTATGTGTGTGTATAGTGCTTGAAGTGAAATCTGCCGTCCCCATCATCATGGGCTCCAACATCGGCACGTCTGTCACCAACACCATCGTCGCCCTGATGCAAGCAGGAGAGAGGAACGAGTTTAAACGGTACCTAATGATTTTCACCATCGCCGTTATCATCACTATTTAATCAAACTGGCATGCAACCTTGCTGTTCACTTAAAGTATCCATGAGTTCATTTCAGATTGCATTCTTAATTTTGGCAGAATTGATTTCTTTAAGTGAACATGAAATCAAAATTGTCCCCATTTACTTTGTTAATGCATGTTCTAGGTCTCACTGTGAATAATTTATTCCTAAGAAAACAAATTTTCATGCTAATCTGTTATCAAAATGCAATAACTTTCATTGAAATGACTTCGTCACCTAGCAAAATTACTTAAGGTATTATGTCTTTTTTTCTGAGAAAAAAAAAAGATTACAATTAAGACATTTTATACTTAAAACAAGAAAAATCCATTGGGGTAAGAAAAATAAACTTAATTCAAAGGAAAATTAGTTTTATTTTTCTGACTCCATTGGCAGATGTTTGGTCTCGTTTTAAGAATAAAGTCATTAATTACAAGTTTTTCTGAAAACTAGTCTTTATGTATTGTGTAATTTTGCTTCTAAGTAAATGCATCTTGATTTAATATTTTCTATTTATTTATTTTTATTTAATTATTTTTAATTTCTTTATTCAATTTTCTATTTATTTATTATTATTATTTTTATTACAAATAATAATACAAATAGTTTTATCCACTGACCTTCTGCATTCTTGTTCCCTCATGGTTTCTTATTTTTTATTTCCATCTTTCTTTATTTTTACTTTCTTATTTATTTCCATCCATCCATCCGTCCGTCCGTCCGTCCGTTTGTTTGTTTATTTATTTATTTATTTATTTTCTGTTTATTTATTTTCAGTTTATTTACTTTTTATTTAATTATTTCTATTTGTTTTTATTTATTTAACTATTTTTTATTTTATTTATTTAATTATTTTATTTCATTTTTATTTGTTATTGGTTGATTGATTGAGGTGTATTATTTTGTTTATATTTCTTTCTTGTAATTTAATTATTATTTTTTTATATTATTTCTATTAATTTAATTATTTTATAAAAAAATTTTTCCATCTATAGTGATCATGTGTATTTGTGTTTTCTTTTTTTTTTTGACCTCTTGTTGATCACCTGTGCTCTCGTTCTCAAGGGCGTTTGCTGGGGCGACGGTCCATGACTGTTTTAACTGGCTGTCGGTGCTGGTTTTGCTGCCGGTGGAGGTGGCATCTGGTCTGGTGAGTTACCTGGCCAGAGTCACTGTCAGCAGCTTTCAGCTGCACAGCGGACAAGAAGCACCTGAACTACTGAAGACGCTCACCGAACCCTTCACCAAACTCATCATACAGGTGTGTGTGCATGCAATATGTTTTTAGACTCACTCATGTTTCCTTGAGTGTTGAGATCCAGAATATGTTGTGTCAGTACTCGCCCACAGTGACACAGAGAGTGTGATATTGACTGTGGCGTCTCACTCTTCTAGCTGGATAAATCAGTAATAACGGGCATCGCTCTGGGCGACGAGTCCATGAGGAATCACAGCCTCGTGAAAGTCTGGTGCAAGTCCAGCAGCTTTGTGGTAACTTTCTCCTGACACAAACATTTTTCATGCTCCAAATCTGCACATCTCATGAATTTACCCGAACTTTTACCTATAAATTCCCTCATTAACCTGAAGTTTTTTTTCTCTCTATAAAAGATGATGCAATTTAGTTTTATTTTAGCTTGCATAAATTAATTAATAGATGAATGAATGATTGAATGAATGAACAAACAAACAAATACTATAATAATATAAACAGAAGTACAAAATCAAAGTGACAAAATGTTTTAATAATAAATATAAATATAATAATAGTAATATAAATTATACATAAAGTACAGAATGAAAAAGATGAGAAATGTTTCAATAATAAACATAAATATAAAAAATACATAACATAATAAATTATAAATGGAAAAAAACATTGAAAGAGACAAAACAAATGTTTTACTAATAAATAATAAAAAATACAAATAAAACAAAATAAATACTGTAATAATATTATGAATTATTAATAAAATACTAAATGAAACAGACAGAATAAATGTTTTAATAAATAAATAAATAAATTCTATAATAATATTGCAAATTATAAAAGTTAAAATACAAAATGAAAAGAGAAATGTTTTGCATCAAAATGAAGCCTGTGACCTTTAATATTTGTTTAATTTTCATGACCTTTGAACACCTGCTCATAAAAAAAGTAAATTTTGTATTCAAATTCTCATTACTGTAGCACACCAAAATGGTTTACTTGTGTGTTTTTTTGCTGCTTATCTTATCTTATCTTATCATCTTATCTTATCTTATCTTATTTCATTATTTTATTTTCTGTATTCTCATTATTAGAATACAGCAGTCATTTTGTGTTTAGTAAATCAGCATGAAATACAAATAACATGATGTTTAAATGCTTCACAATTCATCATTTTTCACAAATAACAATGGGAATTTGGGTGGATAATTTGTTGAACTAACTGTAATGAAATGTCAGGATGAAGAAAAATACGTTTTATTTCCTTTTTTAATAAAAAGTAATTTCAGTTTTTTTCCCTCTGGTTTTGGGGTGAAATGAGACTAGGACATGTTTCTGACAGACAGGTTTTGTGAGCTTCACCCTCGTGCATTTTGCACTAGACTAAATTTCGTAGTCAGTACAACGCTTCATGATGAGTAAAGTAAGGTTTTCCTGGTCAAGTTGTGTTTGGATTGGATCTTTAGGTGCTTACAGACTATTGAGAAAACACATCTCCTCTCCAGATGATCTGCTGTCAGTCACATTATCTTGTCAAAGTTCACAATACTGTGTGTCACCTTCTCATGTTTTTCCACTCCAACCGACCATATTTCACAAGAAAATACTTCGTCTTTTCTGTTCTGCAGTATAGTTTTCAGGGAAATATTCCTCTTTCTCCCTCTCCAGTCCTCAGTGAATGTGACAGCAGCTGCCGCCCAGAACTGCTCCACTGAACTGCATTGTGGGAAGGATAGTGATCTCACTTGGATCACACAGAATATCAGCTCGCAGATCAACACAGAGAAATGTGAGTGTCATTTAAAATTGAAACGTGTCATTTTTCTTATTACTTCATCAAGGATTAGTGTGTGTGTGGTTGATTTATGAGGACACAAATGTGTCTAATGACATTGTTATTACAAACATAAACATGGTTAATGAGGTTTACACTTCCTGTGTTCTCATAAACCAAAAAGCTTAAAAAAAGTGTTTTTTTTTTTTTTAATGTGAAAACTTTTGAAAAAAATGCCAGTAGTTTTATGTGAGGTGTAGGTTTAAGGGTAGGGTTAGAGTAAGACGATAGAAAAAAAAAATACAGTTTGTACAGTATAAAAATCGTTAAATCACAAATACAAGTGTGTATGTGTGTGTGAGGGAGAAAATTGAAAAATAATTTAAATATGTATTTAATGTATTAATTTTATTTGTGTATACTGTATATGTCAGCCCTGTGTTTCTGTGTCTTGTGTTTTCCTCCCCCACGTGCTCCATGTTTGGTTTCCTTCCTGTTCCTGTCCTGATTATGTAATTTGTTTCCAGGTGTTCCCCGTTTAGTTCTATTGATCCCAAGTGTGTCCCATTAGTTCCCTTATTACTTAAGCCCTGTGCTGGTTCCAGTCTAGCGTCCGGTATTGTACGTCTAACCCTCCTGCTACGTGTGTGTTCCTGCCTGTTCCATGTGAATCTTGATTTGGATGAATAAAGATGTTCTTTGAGAAATTCCAACATGCTCCTCGTCTCCTCGTTCCAACACAGTAGCAGCACCGTGACAGAATACCAGACCAAAACAGTGTAGGCGGCATCCCTTCTCCTCGTTTTTGTTTTCGTTTTTTCGAAAGCGTTTAGATCCCCCCCCCCACTCCGCGTTCATGGAAATCGCTGCACCATCAACTCTCTGTTCTGGCATGGGGCCAACTACCACTTGCAAATAGTGCACATTTGCGTGAGTAAAATGCAAAAATGCCAACTTTTCTCCCAGTCACCACCACATGTCATTCCCATTTGGGATAACTTCAGTGGTGTGGAAGCGATTAAAATCTGCATTAAAAGCAATGTCTGCTGAACTGCCAGCTCAGAGGATGTCATGCAGACTGCTTGACACTATTCTTTGGGAGTGGAAAGCTAAAGCTTTCTGGAGCTAGCGCTCAGACAGGAAATGAGAAGCACACCTCTTCTGAGGTGCCATTGATGTGTCCTGTTTTGACAGCCGGTAAAAAAAAAAAGTCTCAGAGGAAAAGGATGAAGGTGGAAGATGGAAATTTGGAGTGGATGGAAATTTCTGACCTCTCTAACAGGCCATCAGAGCATAGACTGCTTGCACTTTGAACGACGGCCAAAATAGAGTGATTCATGTACAGTGCTTCAAAGCAAAGCTAGCTTTTTGTGGCTGTAAGGGTGAGAAACTTATCAGATTTATGATAAGTTAAGAGGCAACTTATCAAATTGTAAGTTTTAACAATTTAATAATTATTAGAATATTATCCAATATTATTAGAATAACTTAATAATCTTTAATTATTAAAAAATTATGAAATTATTATACTTTTATAATAAACAAAATATTTGTTTTGTTCCCCACGTGCTCCATGTCCTGTTCTCCCCGTTTTGTTTTCGTTTTTTTAAGTCTTTTGTTTTCTTGTTGTTTCTCCCCGCGGCATGGAAACCGCTGCACGTTTCATTGCTTTAGCCCATAAGGATCTCCCCTTTTTTCGAGTATGCCTGGGAGAGACAGCGTTGGATGACGCCACCATTAACTTTCTGTTCTGGCACGGGGCCAATTACCATTGCCCCGTGGACCTCCCAGATAACACGGGACTAAGCTGGAGGGAAGGGATCCTCCAGTGTCTGGAGAGCGTCTGGCCCCCGAGCCAGAACCAGCCCGCCATCAAGTCCGCCCTGGCAGCGGCATTCTCAAGCCCGCCGGCCGCTCCGAAGTCAAGCCCGCCGGCCGCGGCATTCTCAAGCCCGCCGGCTGCTCCGAAGTCTAGCCCGCCGGCCACTCCGTTGTCAAGCCCGCCAGCTACTCCAGTCTCAAGCCCGCCGACCACGCATTTTACCCCTAACCAAATGAGGAATCTGATGAGGAAAAGGCTGTTGGCTCTAGCCCATGAGTCCGCTTCAGTGTCGGCTCCAGCCCCAGAGCGAGCTTGTTGGTCCCCGTTGGTTATGACGTGTGTGGACACGCCTTTCGGGAGGGCGGGAATAATGTCAGCCCTGTGTTTCTGTGTCTTGTGTTTTCCTACCCCACGTGCTCCATGTTTATTTTTATGCCCATGTTTGGTTTCCTTCCTGTTCCTGTCCTGATTATGTAATTTGGTTCCAGGTGTTCCCCGTTTAGTTCTGTTGATCCCAGGTGTGTCCCATTAGTTCCCTTATTACTTAAGTCCTGTGTTGTTTCCTGTCTAGCATCCAGTATTGTACGTCTAACCCTCCTGCTACGTGTGTGTTCCTGCCTGTTCCATGTGAATCTTGTTTGGATGAATAAAGATGTTCTTTGAGAAATTCTTACGTGCTCCTCGTTCCAACACAGTAGCAGCACCGTGACAGTATATGTATTTAGTAGCGATTTATTTTGATTTAAAATGTATTTTATTCTTTTCAATTTATTTTAATTTTAATTGGTTTTGTATTCATTTTGTTTTGTTTCTTTTTCTTTCTTTCTTTCTGTTTTTCTTTCTTTCGCTTTCTTTCTTTCTTTCTTTCTTCTTGTTTATTTATTTATTTGTTTATTTGTATTTATGTATTTCTCTTTGTTTTTCATTTCTATCTATTATTTTTCTGTGTTTATTGTTTTTTTGTGTACTTTGTATAATTATTTATTTATTTATTTATACACAGAAAAAAGCAGTCATTAATATTTGCTATTCAGTCAATTATCATGAACAACCTGACCTTCTGGTTACCGTTAACTTTGCTTTTGCATGTCCTTATCCCCCTTAATTTGAATGCATCTGTGTCCATTAATACTTATATTTTGTCTTCATTCTTCCCTCTTGTTCCTCCGTCTGGTTTCCACAGGCCGGCATCTGTTTGTGGACTCGGGTTTGTCAGACCTGGCGGTGGGGCTCATTCTGTTAGCCAGCTCTCTGATGGTGCTGTGCACCTGCCTGCTGCTCATCGTCAAAGTGCTGAACTCTCTCCTCAAAGGTCAAGTTGCAAAGGTCATCGAAGGGGTCATCAACACGGGTGAGCAGCCATGGGCCTGGAGGAGGGAGAGCCATAGAATGACAAGTCTTTCTGTAATATTTACAGTAGGGGTTACTGTATAGGGGTGTAATAGTACACATATTTGTACTGAGAATTTTTGCTGAAATTTTTTTTAATCCTTAAAAATGTTTAATTATTAATAAATGTATTTAAAGACAGAGCCACAGTTTGTTCAGCAAACCACTGTTTAATAAGAAAAAAAATAAGCAATTTTATGTTTGGTTTTGCCCCGCTGTACCGAGTAACCAAGGTACACTACCAATCAAAAGTTTTTGAACAGTACAATTTTCAAGGTTTTTTTTTAAAGAAGGCTCTTCTGCTCACCAGGCCTGCATTTATTTGATCCAAAGTACAGCAAAAACAGTAAACTTTTGAAATATTTTTACTGTTTAAAATAACTGTTTTCTATTTGAATATATTTTAAAATGTTATTTATTCCTGTGATTTCAAAGCTGAATTTTTTGCATCATTACTCCAGTCTTCAGTGTCACATGATCCTTCAGAAATAATTCGAATATGCTGATTTGCTGCTCAAAAAACAGCTGAGCAGATTTTTTTCAGGTTTCTTTGATGAATAGAAAGTTCAGAAGAACAGCATTTATCTGAAATAAAGAAATTTGTAACAAAATGTTACAAATTATTTTTATCATCACTAAATAAATAAATAAATAAAAATTATACTGACTCCCAACACTTCACGAGTAAACTTTTCCTGGTCAAGTTGTGTTTGATTTTTCAGATGCTTACAGACTATTGAGAAAACACATCTCCTCTCCAGATGATCTGCTGTCAGTCATTCTGCCACTTGTCATCCGCTCTACACTATCTTGTCACAGTTCACAAGACTGTGTCACCTTCTCATGTTTATCCACTCCAACCGACCATATTTCATAAGAAAATGCTTAAGTCTTTTCTGTTCTGCAGTAGTTTTCAGGTAAATATTGCTCTTTCTCCCTCTCCAGTCCTCAGTGAATGTGACAGCAGCGGCCGCCCAGAACTGCTCCACTGAACTGCATTGTGGGAAGTACAGTGATCTCACCTGGATCACACAGAATATCACCTTGCAGATCAACACAGAGAAATGTGTGTGATTTCAGAGTAATTAAAAATGTAAATGTCTAATTTCTCCTGTCCAGGATTACTCTAACCCTAACCCTCACACAAAACTACTGGCATTTTTTCAAAAATTGTCACACTTCAAAAAAAAAACACTGTTTAGTATGTTTTTAAGCCTTTTGGTTTATGAGGACACAGGAAGTGTAAACTTCATTAACAATGTTTAAGTTGTAATACCCATGTCATTAGACACATTTGTCTCCCCATAAACCAAGCACACACACACTAAGGGGATAGGAAAAGAGAAAATACAGTTTGTGCAGAATAAAAAACCATTGCGTCTATGGAGAGTCCTCTTAAATCTCATATATAAGTGTGTGTGTGTGTGTATATATATATATATATATATATATATATATATGTGTGTGTGTGTGTGTGTGTGTGTGTATACACATACAAACTATATCTATTTATTTGTATTTATATTTTTTTATTTCATCTATCTATCTATCTATCTATCTATCTATCTATCTATCTATCTATCTATATATCTATCATCTATCATCGATCTCTCTCTAGCTTTATTATTTTCTTTATTTTTTATTTCTATGTATTCGTTTTCTATGTGTATTTGTATTTATGTACTTTCTATTTAATTCTTCATTTATTTATTTATTTGTATTCAGAAAAAAGCAGTCGTTAATATTTAGTATTTAATTATTTATCATGAACTACTGACCTTTTGGTTAACTTTGCTTTTGCATGTCCTGATCCCCCTTCATTTGAATGCTTCTGTGTCCATTAATACCTATATTTTGTCTTCATTTTTCACTCTCGTTCCTCCAGGCCGGCATCTGTTTGTGGACTCGGGTTTGTCAGACCTGGCGGTGGGGCTCATTCTGTTAGCCAGCTCTCTGATGGTGCTGTGCCCCTGCCTGCTGCTCATCGTCAAAGTGCTGAACTCTCTCCTCAAAGGTCAAGTTGCAAAGGTCATCGAAGGGGTCATCAACACGGGTGAGCAGCCATGGGCCTGGAGGAGGGAGAGCCATAGAATGACAAGTCTTTCTGTAATATTTACAGTAGGGGTTACTGTATAGGGGTGTAATAGTACACATATTTGTACTTGCTGAAATTGCTGAAATTTTTTTTAATCCTTAAAAATGTTTAATTATTAATAAATGTATTTAAAGACATTTGTTCAGCTTGTTCAGCAAACCACTGTTTAATAAGAAAAAAAATAAGCAATTTTATGTTTGGTTTTGCCCCGCTGTACCGAGTAACCAAGGTACACTACCAATCAAAAGTTTTTGAACAGTACAATTTTCAAGGTTTTTTTTTAAAGAAGGCTCTTCTGCTCACCAGGCCTGCATTTATTTGATCCAAAGTACAGCAAAAACAGTAAACTTTTGAAATATTTTTACTGTTTAAAATAACTGTTTTCTATTTGAATATATTTTAAAATGTTATTTATTCCTGTGAT